TAATTGTCCTACTTTATTTATTGTTAGTGTTTTCTTAGTCCTGCCGACGTTGATAAACAATGGAAACCAATAGCAATGCAAGCACTGATTCATGCTGACCTCCACAACTTCAATAACCAGTTGTGCCGTAGGAAAAACAATCTTAGAACTTCAATGTTAAGAAATTCATAAAGTGTACTGGAACTTACGCCCAAAAGTAAAAATACGACGGCTCTTGTTGACACTCTCAGAGAGTGGCAATAGCCATTCCGTTAAAATAATTATAGATAATGAAAACGAAATATCTTATTGTTTCTTACTATCCATTTTACGAATTTAGTTAGCATCAGTTACACAGTAATCGATTTCAATGAGTACATTCAGAGGGGAAGGATTTTTATTGACAAAACATGATTTTTTTCTGCTTTTTCATCACCCCTTGTTTACTCTTCGCTTCAATATTTGACTGTTGTTATCTAAACTCCTTCTCCAAAGTGTGTGCGCTGGGAAAAAATGAAGAAGAAAACGGAAAAAGGACTGTTAAAGCAAATAGAAATGTAATATATATGGTAGAATATGCAGCGACGTATGAAGATAAGAGTCATTCGAAAGAAGCCTGCAAATATAGTAAGTCGCAGAAAAATCTTTTCAACAGTAATATCACATCATCAATTGCAAATTTTTTGTCTTGGTGGGTAAATCATTAAAAAGAGTTCGAAAAGCAAAACAAGCTATGATGATTGTTACATAGTAAGCAGCGAAATGCTACGAATAGTCTAAACTTTGGTTCCCACTCGCACTTGACGGATTTTAGTTAACACATAGATAAGTGATCAAAATGAATATAATTTAACTGCGAATATAATGAAGCCACATATTCAATGACATAAAACCACAATTTTAAAGTTTAGGCTGTGGGTGAGAATATAGAGTATGAGAAGATGCTTGTGTAGACGTAGGTAAAATTAGCATGATATTCGAGTATTTCCAGGTCCGATTCCCATGAGGGTGTGGATGTACACTTAGTTAGGGGGCAGCTGGTTGTCAGTAGCAATGTGCGTGTTTCATTTGATCAGTGACGAAATATTTTTCCGAAACGGTTAAAGTAGCGAAGAGTAGTACTGAAAATGATGAATTGTTATTCCACAGCCTTACTGATCAATTCTGCAGCGACCTAGACTAGTTTAGCGACACAATAATTCATTCCTCTGGCTAAGGAAGAAAGCTTCTCCATGTCTGTGCTAAATCTGCGAAGACAACTAATGAGCCTCTGGCAGAAAGCGTGGGTGCAATGATCGCACTGTTCCACGTTCTAAATGAGCAATCCAACATGTGCAAGATTGTCATGGGTATCCCAGGTGAAATTGCACTACATTTTGCTGCCTTCATCTCCTAGCATAATACCGTTTTTCCTTCTCAAAAGATGATCAGAAGAAAGCTGTATCTGAAATTTAAAAAGTACTTGAGTATTTCGGTTGCTACAAAACTCGTCGGCGGAGTTAAACCGGGCGCGGAGACGGAACGGACTTTCACGAATCTTGAACAGCACTGACGGCAAACTGACACCAGTTCAGTTCGGAATGAATGAAAATAGCGAAAGAGAGAATGAAGTCGCATCCATTTCAATCGACAGAACAAACAAACATCGTTTTCATTGATAATCTGCTTCAAGTGTTAATCCTATTAAAATTTTAAATCCTAGTAACAAAACATTGTTCAAAAACGCTCGTTCGATGTCTAACCACCGGAAACAGTGTAATATCTTAAGTTTATCCCTTACACGTTTACACGCGGAAACTTGCACCATGCACCATGTTTTACCCGAACTGGTCTTCGAGAACATCATGCATTCACGGAGGTACACTGCTGTGTTGAAATTCATCGCATGTTAAACATCGGCAATCACAAATCTCGTACAGACGTCGAGCATCACAAAGCTGAGCCACTTTACCTCCGTATCTTTCGAAACTTTCTTACAGCGTTGATGTCTGTCTCAGGGAAAAGTCCGATTGCAGATTTGGCGAAGTTCCTTCACCCTGTGTATTCAGGTGCCTTGTTCTAATCCTGAGTAGTAATGTAATTCATTAGCAAACAATCAACAAAAGCCGTTGTCATAAAATTTCTCCGGATGTATTGGTAAACTCCGATAAAAAAAACAACTAGGTATGCACCAACACAATACATTGGGTCCACGATAAGTTTGGTCATCGATATTTAAGCAACTCAGTCTACGGGGATCACTTACACAATCTACCACAATGTTAAACTTCTCTGAACTCACCTACCTGGTGAAACTATCCTTTGACAGTTTCACAAAAAGTGTAAAAAGATTTTTCGATTGGCAAAAACCGTAATCCTCTACCTCTTTTCTATCAAAAGCTATTCAAGAAAACAGAGGAGTCCATTATATTTTGAAACAGATAATAACAAGGGGTGTCAGTTATTTGAAAAAATTGTTACAAAAAATGTAATTTTTTAATAGTAAACATCCCAAACAGATTTTAATTTTTCATGTCGGTGTTGTTGATATTTTTCATCGCGTGAATATTCATGTTCACTATATCCAAACGCTTTTGGGCCAACAACTTTTAGTACACGTTCAGTTGTCATTTTTGGTGATGATGGTAAAACAAGAACAGATACACGACATCCAAATTTAATATTTTCTGTTGAATACGGATCACCAGATTCGCAATCAATGATTGTTATCAAATTCGGAACAACGGCTAAAACTCGTTTTTTTGATCTTGTCTTCTGATGATTCGATTGCATAGGCTATTAAATTTTCATTTTGAAATTCAATGATTATTTCTTGTTGTTATGCTTGTATGTTAACTTTGCTGCGTATAAATCCTTTACCTGTATGGCGCTCAACATTCATAACTTTACCCTCAGATAAAATTATTCAACCGTTACCAGTTTTAGTAACTAATTCAATCACATTTTGCGGATTGGAATATTTGGCATGACCTATAAGGAATTATTTTTAATTATTACTAAATCTTCAGTTCATCCTAAATCAAAGAATCTCTTTAGTTAACAGGCAGTGCTATTGCGACCATTTCGTTTCCTAAATGTACTCTTAAAAATAGACCTACCAAGAAACCAACACAATGACAGCGTATAATGGACTGCCCACTTTTGTAATTCTTGTCCATTCAAAGGTGGACGACAGAATCCTGCTCTTAACTCCATAACTGTGCATATTGATCTCATAAGTTTTTCTAACTTACGACTATCTCGAATATTATTGTATAAAACTTGATTTCGTACACATCCGATAAACATGTCGGCGAACATTTTTGTCCTTCTATAAATGATAATGAATGATCTAATTGTGGAAATGCACGACCCATACCATCGCAATCAAGACACGGAATATTCATTTGGGATGAAACAATTAATGCTATGAGTCCATTACTACCTCCTATTTCAGCGCTATACAATGATGTGACTTGACGGCTTAAAAATTTTTCAATTGCACGTATTGAATGAAGACATTCTTGACCACTTGGTAAATGCTCTATACCCACAGTTGGAGCACTCATGAATCATTCTGAAAATGAACGTTATAAACTCTTTCTGTTATTAATTTATTTAACAAATTATATTGAAAATAAAATATAAAGACGTTTCGAAAGATATCTTTTTCCTTCTTCAGTTTAAGAAACAACTGAACTGTTTTGGAAACACATACTGTATACTTTTATATCTTTTCTATTCACTTTTTTTTCCTTTCTACTTTTTAATAGTAGAATGGACGAATAACAGGACGGTGAACTGGGACAGAGACAATTTTTCCAATCTGCGTTTTAACACTTCAGTTCTAGGTGAATGAGTGAGAGTAATAAAATATTTTAACTTTTGGTGCAGTGAATTAATCATGAATAATCATCCTTACCATGATTAATGAATAATCAAATTCTGAAATAGTCCAGCATTTTCATCAAAATAAATTTCAACGCTTGTTTAGACCACTAAATGGGTTTGCTATTGATAATAAGATAGTTTGGCGAAAGAGACGTGTGAAAGAATCTATTTACTCAGTTGTTAACAAGTCCATAAACAGACAGAATGACATAGATCAGTCATGGATACTGTTGTTGCAAAAGGCCTTGTATTAACAACCCAAAAGGCAGTTTTTCGAACTTTTATCGACTAATGTGTGCTAGAAAGTAACGAGGACTAGGCTTAAGAATTGACTTCAGTCCGTTTTTAGATTAAACTACCTAGTTTCATTTAGAACCAACCCGAGGCTTTCTCTAATTGCATGATATACTCAAATCTCTGAAACTTTTGTCGAGATCGGATGCACTACTAAAAAAATGACTGGGGTTGTAGGAATGAGAGATTCCGTTACAAGATCGAGAATTCTTATAACATGGCAATAGTTATATATTAGTTACCCGATTTCATTTGATTCTTCACTTAAAACTAAGATGATAGAAATTATTTTGGAAGTGTTGGTGTTACATCTTTTATTTGTCTTATGTATAAAGTAAATGTGCAACTGAAAATTCGCGAGAAGTTTTACAGTCTCAGTTTAGTAAAATTGTTCATTAGCGTTAAACGGAGGTGGATAGTATTGTTCCTGCTGTTGTTGTCTCCATTGTTCGGCACGAATTAAATCCATTCGAACTTGTGCATAGGGTCCCATATTTTGAAATGAAGGTGGAGGTGGAGGAAGCAGATTCACTCCCAGACCGAGTCTGCCATCAAACATTTCGCTGTAATTTTGATATGGATACGGAGCAGCTAAAAATAGCAAAGGAAAAACAAATTTCAAGTTTTAAAATAGTTTAAAAGCCTATCAAAATGAAACTATCACAGCCGGCAAAGCGGGATACATTCTGTAGCCCTGTTTGGGGTGTTCAAGCTTTTACTCCTTCATTGAAAACTGTGTTTTTAGATCCCGACACCTCTGGGCACCTCTAACATATGAATAAGTACTTTTATAAAAAAGATAACCCTGTATTTCGAACACTGTATGATAAGTTGGAAAAGTGCGTTAGAACCAAAGGGAAAAAGCTGACTGAAATCAGTCGAAAACCACCCAAAATTGATTGATTTTCAATGATCCTCTGTGATTTCCAATGACTTTCAGTCATTTTCGATGACTTTTCATTTAGTGAAAGTCGATGAAATTCAGTGACATCGACAAAAAAATCCAAAAATCAGTTGTTTCCCCCTTGGTTAAAACACGAACAGTATAAAAAAACTATGTTTTTGTTCTTTAGAGTACGAAAGCTGAATCCTTAGTTTTTGACATATCAACCATAGCTTTCGTTTGGGTTTTTAACAGAAGGGGAGGGGAGAGGGATTTCTAAGGAGAAAGTCTTTTAGGATCAAGGAGATAGCCATTTTCGCGCACATACCCAAGCGTCAAAAAAAAATCTAGTATAGCCCGATTCATCTAGATTATTAGATTTTTACTCGCTTGCAACTAGTGTGTAACGACAGTGGAAATCTAGTAACTGGGTGATTATTAGATTTTTTCTAGTTGCAACTATCGATTTATCGCCCGATAATCGATCGATTTAACTATTACTAGATGCACTTGCAGACGCATCTAGTTAAAAGTCCCTTTTCCAACTAGTAATCTAGATGGCAACTAGTCGTGTATCGCCCGATTACAGACGAAATGTATCTAGATTTTTCCCATAGGTGATATTTGCTTGGGTAGTGAGAATATAGTGTATAATTTTATTAGTACATCCACTTGTAATGTTGACAGAGAATACAGAGTTTAAAAAGTCTGTTCTTCAAACTGGCTTAGTACTATGCATCCATCACTTCATCATCACTTTCATGAATGTATAATTTGGCATTTCTACTGATTCATGAAATTATTGCTAGTAGAGGTCGAACAAGATGCCGGTATATCACAAACCCTAGCAGCATTCCCGCTTCATTTCGCGGTAAGAATACAGCCTCATCTTGTAGCGATTCGGACAAGACATTTGAAATTAAACGAGACCCCTACCGCGATCGCACCTAATTTTGTTCTTATTTCCGTGTAACGAAAATTTCACAATCTTGATGCGAAAATCTTTTTGATGGGAACGCATTGAAATCCCGCGAAGATCACTGCAAGATTGAAACGAGATCCGGACAAGATCGGGCAAAGGGAAAATAACCTCAAGATCTTGTCATGAATTACACACGATCTTGCTAGAATCCTGCGGCGATCCCGTCACACTCTTGAGACACAAATCGATCGGAATCGCATAACGAACTTGATCAAGAGGGCGATTACAATTATGAGATCGCGATTTTATTTTGCCAAGATCAGGGTTTTTTCATTACACTGAAAAAAATCACGTACGCAGTCAGATCTCAGCAAGAATGGAACGGGAATATCACTAGGGAAGACACTTCTTATCATCATCTTCCATTATGGTCGCTGTTTTTGACGCAGATACCTCGTGTTGAGCTGCATCAGAATTTGAATGACGTTTTTTCCTGGTAAACAAGAATTTTCCGCCTTCTTGTGGTCATTGAGTCGGTGTGGATATTCTTCTCGTGCAATGATGCCTGATGGTAGTAATGTATTTGATTGTTGTTTTTATTATGTTTATATTGAGCTCGTTTAAAACATTTGTTTTTAATTTACCAAAAATTTCATCATATATTCCGTTTTTCTCATTCTCGTGTGTATTTTTCCAGTGACGGCTAAAATTTTTAACTAAGCCAGAAGTTCAACACAATGAACGAAGTCTACCTGAGAGCTTAACATTTTTAGTCTAATGTTTTATTCTGATAGACTACACACTTCTAACTCACGTTATCTTTGACTTATGAAAAAATAGTTTCGTCTATTCTTCTCTCCTTTCTCTTTCTGCAAAGAAACTGATATATGTACAATTTACACATATCGTCTATGTATAACATAAAAGAAAAGCGAAACGGCGCAAATAAATAGCAATGAAATTTCGCTTAACTAAAGTAATAGAAGTAGATCCATGTTAGATGTATGAAAGAAGAACAAAATTCAAATATCATTCGCTTTCAAGAGGAGAAACATATAGTTTGAAGCACTAACATATAGCTAAACAACAGTTATTTTCCTCAGATTTGAGAACATATACTTTTGTCTTTTGGATTTTCAGATGAATGACCGCTCGGTGTTCTTTAAAAATTCAGAAGTATAATTTCTTTCCACACAAGTGTTGACCTTATCCTTCACCGCACTATTTCCTCTAATATCCTGATATCTCACATTGTTTTTTCAGATTAAGAAAAGTATACTACAGAGACTTTAAAAATTCGGAGGGAGAAAGCAGAAAACTTTCAAGGAGGGGGAAAAATCCCACCCCTGATTGTATGCGCTGATATCAACTATATTTAACCACCTTCAATCAACTGTTCCTTACCTCATACATAAACTTTCTATGAAAACTTTCTAAAGCAATACATTCTTTATAAAAAAAAGTGCTCAGGAATAAAGAAAGCCACCGAAATGTACTTTTTTTGCTTCAGATACTACATTCACTTCTTGAATTAGCACGGAAAAACTGTGTTGGTTGTGTTAGTATGGAAAAACGTTTCTTAACAACCGCTTCAAATTCTACCGAATTTGACATTTTTAAAAATCCGTATCCAAGAAAGACTATTTGGAAAAAGAATAATTATCGAACACTTTTGATACCTGATGCATTAAGGTACTCAAAATATTTCTACATATATTAGACAGATCAATCCAATTGGGATTGTAATGTGTCAACATCAATGTTCGAGCAGATTGTCGGGACATTGAATACCTGAGTCGTAACTAAACTCCATATATCCGAATTTAAAACGGAATATTCTGAACTAATTGAATATTATTTAAAGATGAGTTGTCAAAAACGATCCTGAGCACACGTTCGATGCCGAAAAGATCACGCACAGATTCATCATCATCCAATGTTAACGCTCCTGACTCTTTGCATTCTGGTGTACAAAAGATAATTCATCCACTGGACACAACCTCGGTCTATAACTTAAAAAAACAGGACAAAGGAGAAGAAGAGCAAATCTTCATTATTTCAGCCTAATTTGGCGTTACTCTTCTGTTCATCGAACAGCTATCGACAAAATGGTTACAGCTTCGTTCAAACAAAAAAAATCGGTCTTGATCGATGGTAAAAAATTAGGATAGTTATCAAGAAAGAAAAGAGAAACATCACAACGGCCCTGCCTGTAAGAAACCTGTTTTCGTCAGATGCAATTTGATGAAGCTTTCAACAAATATGAGCTATATCGGAGATTAGATTACTGTAAAAATTTCAGCTTTATATCAAGTTCACAATTTCAAGATTCCTCCGTCATTTTAACTGTTGAAAATAGTCTTAAAATGTAACCAACACATTTTTCTATGGCATAACATAGTCCGATTTTTCATTGTTGTTTTAATTTTGTAGAAAATTAAAGTATTTGCTAAAAAGATCACTAGGGGTTATACGTTTCTGATCGTCGGCGGATACCGGTTAAGTATCAATTAGTAAGCTTTCGCATCTAATCTAATAAAAAAGTTTTAGAGATAATAAGTTTTTTTAGAAAACAGCACTATCTTCAGCTTTTTCGATTTTATAAATCAAATTAGTTTTAAACTTTAAATAATATTTTCTTCACTAAAACTCTGGAACCATATGACAAAAACGTCTGATGTTGACGTTCACAAAATAATGGACCAACGCATCAGAAAGAGGGCACTACTATATAGTGTTATCAGTTTGAACAGAATTCAAAAAATAATGTACTTTAGAGATGGTTAAAATCGAAGGCTCACTGTGTAAACAGCCGGTCAGACCAGAGATGTGACCGGCGACCGGTCCGGTTGAGGAAAAAGACGTAAATCGGCTGGTTGATCGGCGACCGATAGCACTTGCTCGGTCCAGTCCAGACATATCACCGGAACAAAAAGATAAAGTTAGTTTTGAGGTGCTGAAAAATGCTTTTTCGTGTTCACCACACTCGATAACCCAGAAGATTTTCTGTTTTTGGCCAGGGGTACTTCCGAAAGTTTAAGAAAAATTTTGAAACAAAATGGCGCAAAAAAGTTTTTATGGGAAAATAATATTAGTTTGAAAACTTTTCTTAAACTTTCGGAAGTACCTCGGGCCAAAAATAGAAAGTCTTCTAGGTTATCGAGTGTGATGAATACGAAAAACCACTTTTCAGCAACTCAAAACCAACTTTATTTTTTTTCCAGTGATATGACTTTTAGACCTGTTACCGGTCAGATAGACAAAAATCTTGATCGGTTACATCTATGAGTAAAACCCAATTTAAATGCTTGGAGCACTGAATGAAATAATTTGAAAAGCCTTTAAGAGAATGTAAGATTTCGAAGCGCGAAAATCACTGATAAAACATGTCATTTGACTTAATTTTCGATAATCAATAAGAATATGTCATTTATTTACCAAGCTCAAAAGAAGTCAATTACTAAGAATCGAACGGCGATGGCCCTTCCAAAACCAATTTTTTGCCTATGAAAATATAGCTTAACGTATCGGCTATCGAATGTTTAAAACCGCATTGTTTCCGAATTTTTGTAGTGTCTTAAAACTTTTGTTCAAAGTTTATAATTGAATTTTGCAGAAAATTTCAGACTAAGAAGAATCCGCATAGTCACAAAAGATTAGAATTTCACGTGAACTCATAATCTCCGTTTCAAAGGAAACAGTCGGTTTCTATTTTCACGAAAAAATATACCACCTCTAATTCAAATTTCATGCTTTGGATTCTGCTGTCTTCCTACATGTGACAGAATTTGTACTTGGTACTGGATTTTCTTAGGGAACTAATGTATATAGTATGCTCTCTCTTGACTCTTGTATGAAAAAAAGCTTGAAAACAATACCTTGAAATGGTGTAAAATGTTCGACTACTTGTTGAATATGGATATTATACGGAATCGATAATCCCGGCGAAGCCAAATTCATGAAAGGTTTTGTTTGCCTCGGGTGTAAAAAATAAGCCATGTTACTGAGCCACGTGCCCTTACTACTCTGTCTTACTTAGTACGTCGGGCTTTTTATCATACGAAGGCAGCGAAGTGTGACTGGGTTACTCATCGTAATTAGATTAATGAATCAAACTTACGTATCTAGTGCATATGAACTGAAAAAATTGCAATTTCAGATGTTTTCTTCGTACATACCTTAATAGAATTTCTTTTCGGCAACGCGTCATATAAAGGTGTTTGAGAACGAGTTTACAAACTGAATAAGAAAGCGTCTGAATAATTTAATGTACACATCTCAACAATATTGTTTATGAGAAAACGATTGACTGACTCAACTTCGATATGTTTACATAACTCAAAGTCATTGAATAAAGAAGGTTCATTGAAGACCGGGTTTTTCGAGGCTCCTAGAGAACTTGCTCAAAACCCCCGAAAAACCACTTTTATAACCAAAAGCAACACAGATTCTGAAAGCTGATTTTTTTTTTCGACACTTCAGGTTATCTTTCCATGTGCGTATCTCAAAACGGATTTCTTAACCGAAATCACCATTTCTGAAGGGGGCGGGGCCCTTAACCATTTGAAAAAACCTTCAAAAATCAGATCACATCTGTCTGAAACTTTCCTTTACAATGAAAATTTACCATTCGCCTAAAGCATTCTGGATTATCCTGCCTTCATAAATGCAGTTTCATAAATCACACATTTATGAAACTTTTTAGAAGTTTCATAAAAGTTTTCATTTTTATGTAACTTCTGAGTTAAAAAATTCAACATTCAAGTTTCCCAAATTTTACCAAACTTGGAAACAACTTTCATAATTATGTGATTTATGTTGTTTCAGGTTTGATTAACTAGTTCCTTAATTAATTGTATTATTATGTCACATAGAGACATATAACATTATATAATTATATCTCATTATAATAGGTATGAGTTACTTAGAGACATAAACTGATTCCTATAGTGTGTATATAAGTCTCTAAGTGAGATGTAAGTCTTTCACGAACATATGCAGTTATCTTAATTGGTCAATTAAATCAATTTAGTTAACATCGATCGGTGTCTCAGAGACATGTCCTAATTAATTGAGAAAATATTTCTCTGACAGCCATATTAAATTTTTTATGAAAGTTCTGGGTTAACAAATTCACCCAAGTTTCCAGGCATGGGCCAGTCTGCGGGTGGGGAAGGAAACCAAGTCCGAGCCGAGTCCGTCAAAAAATCTTCCAGTACCGGACTCGGACTCGCCCATGCCTACAAGTTTCATAAATGTGTGATTTATGAAGACACGGTATCCCAGCATTCTCATATATTACGGAAATTAAATTACTACTGACATTTCCATTTTTCGAATTGAAGAAAGTTCGTACTGTCTGTATGCAACCAACTTTTGTTTTCTCGTTAATCTATTTTATGTATGACACTATCAATCAGTGCAGAGATCGATCAATCACGACGAAAACAAACATTCTTAATTAGACTGTTAGAAGAAAAGGAAAAAACGTTGATCTCAGTTGAGATCTTCTAGAATGAGAGATATAGTGTTTCTACAGACGTGCAATTTACTTTCCTATTGCGGGAAAAGACGCAACGTGAGTTTTGCTAATGATTATGTCGCTATAATAATTTTGCACACAGATTTTTATGTCCTATCCAAGCACAGTACTTTTTATTCATACAAACGTCTCGATTGATAGTTCAAACTTCCTCAGTGGATACAAACATCCAAAAAAGATTATCTAACAAAATTTGTTGCATTAAAAACTTCAACAAAGTTTTAACGTGAAGAGAATGTTGTTTTCTGTTTTTATTCTATAAAACTTAAGACTTCATGGTTATTATTTTTTAATATGTACTGTTTACTATAAGTCTATATAAATAGAAAACACGTTATTACACAGAAAGCTAGATAGATTACACAGCATCGAAAGAACTTTAAAAGCTGATCTAGTTCTTCCTATCATAATACTGCCACAAAAACACTTTAACAGGGGCACCTTTTTGAATACAAAATGCTCCTCATGAAGCGTTTCTTTTCGTTTGAAACCATTGTTTAAAGGGGTGCGAATAGAAAGTGAAATGCGTTTGAATAGCTGTAGAACGGACGGAAAACGGGTTCTTTGAGCTAGTTGTTGTCAAACGAAAAGAATAACTCACAGACACATTCGAGATAAAGTTTCTTTCCACGTTCTTTCCACGGTAGAGTGCGATGCATATTTTTGGAGTTTCTATTTAAAATTCCTATAACTTTTCGTTGGAACATTGTCTGGAGTTGGCAGACGTCTCGTTTTGATCAGAAATGTTTGCTCTGCAACGTGGTTGCTTTAGAGCTACATTTTCTGTCGATTTTGTATTGCTCACATACAGTTGATGGAAAAGCCAGTTTTTCAGTGCTCACAAGAAATTACATGAAAAATTTGCAAAAATCTTCAATAAAAAGAAATAAATACCTTCTTTTGAAGATTCAATGCCCTGTCAAACAGGATACTTGAGACGAGAAAGAGAGAATTTCTGAAAAATCCTCTAGAGGTCTCAGAACTATGCGCATTAGATTTTACGGATTCGTATGTCTTGGTAAAATTCCGATCGGAATTCGATTTATGGATGACTTGCCTCTTTTTAGTAGAAAATATCAGTTTTTCGGTAGAAGTGGATTTTCTTTGGAACGAAAAAAGATTTTAAAAAAGCGACGCTGCTCCCAGACTGGGGATTCGCATGGCATAAAAAATGTAGAAGTTCCTCACCAGTGGACAACCCGTGCAATTCTGCACAAAATGAGATGTCGACCGAGCTTCCATGGGATTCCATTAAAAAAAATGAAGAAAATACGAAGCAAATGAAAAATTTAGCATTGAGCGTAGACATCTCAAAGAATTTATTCCAATAATTTTATAAAGCCTATAACTCAGTCATTTAATATAGTGAAAAGTTGGTTGACATCTCGTGTTTTGCAGAACTGAACTGGCTGTCGAAAAATTTTCAAAATGAATTTCAAGATGTTTAGATTTTCTGGAAGACTAGGGTTTTTTCGAAAACTCGAAAAATCCATAATTCAACTCCAACGGCTCAGACAACCGAACCTAGGGTTATTCTAATCTAGAGATTCCCTACGTGTGGGTAAAATGCCGGTTCAAAAGCGATTAAACAGCTCGATCGGTTGTTTTGTAAGTTGTAAACTTTTTACCTCCGCGAAAACTTGTTCGTTAAGTCTAAATTTTTTCTTGTAGGTAGTTTGAATATCTCTACAATCTGGTCATATTACGATATTTCCAGGATGAAGTTCGGATGAATGCCAGGAGATTTGATCTCCGGAAGACGATTCCTATAAGCCACGTTCGGAAAAATCATTATCAAGTATGTCTTGAGAAGACAGTGAGACCATATTTTTTTAAAAAGATTGACTATTCAAAACTCTACAAAAAACTATGTTTTAATCAATGTAAATAATCTCCTTTATTTTTGGAAACACGATACAATCTCTTCGTCCAACTTTCACAACTTTCCACAATAACTTCTGTTCTTATTCTCTTTTACCGCTCGTTTGAATTCATCAAGTAAAGTCTGTTTAGACTTGACTTTATCCCAATTCATTTGCTGCACAAATTCGTCCCAAATAGAATAGTCTAATGGGTTAAAATCCGGCGAATTTGGAGAACAATGTTCTTTGTCAATTATTGATGGATAATGCTCATGACACCATTCTTGAGACATGATGTGTGTGCGTGGCCTAGCACCGTCTTGCTGATATGTCCAATCATTTCCGAATGTCTTATTACCATATTCTAGAACCACAGACAGAACTTCCTTGATGTATCGTTCGTGATTTACTGTTCCATTATCAAGGATAACCAAGGGCGTTAAACCTTTCGAACATGCTCCAAGCCAAAGCATTACTTTTTGTGAAAAGTTTCGTCTCTGCTTTACACCATCGTTTTTATCTGCTTCTTTATGATTCACAGGCCACACACGATCATTTTAAACATTGTATATTCCATCCAAATCGAACATTTTCTCGTCGGAAAAAGAATTTTCAAAGTCTGTCCTTTATTGAAGTTGTGACCAATCCAATTTGCGAGTTTGATTCTCTTGGATTTATGAGTGTCTGTAAGCAAAGGTTCGACTCGTTTCTTGTACGCTCGTAATCCTAAATCATTTCTGAGTGTACATTCAACACTTGTTTTTGAAATGCCCAGCTCGCTAGCCATTTTTCTAATCGCCACTTTTTTCTTGCATTTTAAAAGATTTTTCACTTTCTGAATCATATTTTTTGTTCTAATAACATGTGGACGACCTTGTGAATGTGACAGATGGATAGAGCCCGTCTCCCCGATCACTTTACACCATTGAAACACTGTTGTACGACTTATGGCATCTTTCAAATCACGAAATATTTTTGTTGCACTGTCACCGTTTTTGTGTTTGGAAAGAATGACATACACAGTTTTGTTGAGAATCGAATGGCGAATCCTTTAAAAAAAATTTGGTCTGATCAAATGAAAACTGACAGCGCTGTAGCGAAAACAAAAAGTCCGGTTCTTTATGGGACACCCGTTAGTAAAAGATTTTCGTTTAAATTAGACTTTCTACCATGAAAGAGAGTTTCTGCGGCTATAAAAACTCTACCACTCAAAAAGGTGCTAACGAATTTTGTGTTCTGCTTAATCTTAACCGAACTTGGTGTTTTGTTGGAGGAAAATATTTCGAGGAGTGGCTTGACTTGACTTGAAATTTTTTTAGTGACTTGCAAAACTCCAGACTTGCCCGGCTCTGTTTCGGAATACGTATGACTGAATGGGAGTTTTCACTAAAATGTTTGGGACATTCTAAGATTGCCTGACTCCAATATTCGAAAAACCTAGTACTTTCCATTTCAAGCATTATATAAATAGTGATTCATGTTTATTTATCAAACGTATGAAAAAAGATCGTCAAATAGCTCTAATGATAACAAGTTATTTTTCCGACAAAAAATCTGTCCAACTCAACAATCATAAACATATTAAAAAATCGATATTCATATTATTTAGACCAAGCCACCATTGATTCGGATATGCATTGTCATAGAGAACACTATTTCCCTTAACTTTCGATCATTGAATCGGGTTCCGTATAGATAATCAAAGTAAGTTAATAGCCATTAAATATTTAATTATTAAATTGAAATGTTCTTCTACATATTTTTGTCCCATTAAGGTTGTATGCAAAGCCCCATAAAGCAACCATCGTCGAGGCGCCATAGCCAAATGAACAAATGAATGTGTGAATGTTCCATAGCAAGAGACAACAACATCATTCACAACTAAATTACCTTCAAGTGTGAGTGGTGCATAGGCATCAAAAAGAGTAACATCTTTTATATGAGTAATTTTGGTCTGAACAGCCGATCGATAGTCATTTTTCAACAAATACAAATGATCGCCGATATTGACTTGAGATGCAAATAGATACTTCACTTCAGAATCATGTTCTCTTCTTACAAGTAATGAATGTCTTCGAGTAATATGAAGTGGTGGAATACTGATGTTAGCTGCTACTTGAATTTCTAGATAATCAACAGGTGAATCATTGTCGTATTTTTGATAAATATCCATCGCAAGAATTGGACTTGATCGAAGTTCGATGCCATTATCCGAAGTTTTATAAGCCACAATTACTTGATCGCCCACTTTCAAATTACGCATTCTCACCCGTGAACCATCCTCTCTTACTACGGTTGTATCGCCATCGAAACATTCTAAAGAAAAGAAAATATTGGTCTACAACTACAGTAGTTTGTGATCATATTCTTGTTTAATCACAGCCTAGAACTGTTATGATAGCAGCGCGTATCCTGTGAACAAGAGTTTAGTGTTTATCAAAAAGTGAGTTTTGAATTTTGTTCTCTGACAAAATCGAGTACGATTTTAAAGTATAAACAACAAATGAGAATTTTTAATAAAAATTCTTTTCGAAACCTTTAGGTTGGAATTGCAGAACTTTGTTTTCTCCTCATTTTCTTTTTGATTTAGAAATGAATTCTCTTGATTCACTCTTACATGTCAAATCACAAAACATTTTAATGGCGAAAAGAAAATGACAAAATTATCAAATATTGAGAATTTTTCCAAATAACTACCGAATGGTTTGAGTGATATTTTAAGATCATAAAAGCTAAAGGATCAATAGAAAAAACATTAATGGTATCGGTTCACTTGAAAATATACGTGGGCTTCAAAGATTTTGTACTCAAATGATTGTTTCGAAGCAGCGGTACAAGTACACAGCGTTTTATAAAATTTGAACTTTAATCCCCATACCTATTGGATATTATCGTGGCGAAAGGGCATCCATGTCCTTTCCGCGCCTTCCTGGATTGAATCAAGCGAGATCCACTGAAGCGCTGTGCTACTTGTCCGAGCGAACAAAAAGTTTTAGTACGAGACATCAGTTGTGTTGAACTATTCGAATACTCTATTCTAAATGAGTGAAACAAAGTTTTGCACTATATATAAGCTCTCAAAAGAAAATTATTTTAAGGCTAATATTACAACTCGAGAAAAAGAGATCCTTATTTGTTCATCTGATTATTACTTGGCCTCTGAGTTGTAGTCGTAGTGGTTGTTGTAGTGGTTGTTGTAGTGGTGGTGGTAGTACTTTTCTTCAACACCCCAAATATCAATGTGAACGACACTATAAGAGCTATTAAGATCGAACCGCCGACTATAATTCCTGTAATAATGATCGCTTGATAACGCGGTTTCGTACGCTGCGGTGGTGCATGATTTTCATTTGTAGCCAAAGGTGCCGAAGGAAGTACATCTGTAACTTCCGCTAACATATGATACCGAGCTGCATGCTGGAATTGCTGACCAGTCGCCTCGTGATACGATGGGGGCGATGATTGATTATTTGGTAGATATGACACTAAAAGTGAGATCAGCGTACAGTAAAACCTCTCTATAGTGAACAATCTTGAGACTTTTCAAAAGTGTCCGTTAGACAGAGGTTGGGTATTTTCAAAATACAAAGTTTGTTCGAAGGAATAGACATGTTTTCAAAATGTTAATGAATAAAGTATACAGAGCGCATGTTACTTCTCTCTTCATGCATTTTTCTTTTTTGAAAACTAGACAAAAACAACTGCTTACGAGTGCATCAAAAACTCCATAGAGTACGTCAGTTAAAAAGGCGAAAGTCAAGAGGAAAGTTGATTTCTTGATTGTCATTGACTGACACCGCTAATTGATACACCGATATTTCTCCGAACAACATTACCGCAAAAGACATTTCTGTGAATTTTTCACAGTACACATTTGGGTATTTATTGCAGTATGTGGTGAGAGATGGGAGTGTGGACAGTGCGAGAGGAAACGTCGAGATTTCCGCAACAACAGATCCGCCACGATTATTCCAAAAAATGTTTTGAAAATCGATTTTAAAGAAACTAAACTTGAATAAACTAACGAAACAACTGGTGTTACTGGTAAATCTACTCGTCAATCGGCAGTTGGAGAGGTTCTCTTGTAAATAGTTATTATATTTCAACAATATTCCCGTTTGTCTTATCATTGCAAAAACTTGCTTTTTTAAACGATAATCAGCGATATACTTCAAAAACTAAAAGGGATCCTTTTCTAAAAGATGGACCATTAACATGTACAACTCGTGTACTTTAAACTAGTACAGAAAATGGAAACGGGTCTTCTCTAATTTGAATTCGCGAAGTTGGTAGAATATGAAATAAGTTAAGAGTGTGCACTCTCTTCGTTGAATACATAACAGATGAACATTTTTTTGATGAAAATATAAAATTTGTTATTCTTTAAACAGTTCTTTAAACGGAAAAACAAAAAAATTCTCGTATAGAACAGTCTAAATAGTATTAGAGTCGAATAAACTGTAAAAGATAAGTATGTGTTTTTGATCGATTGATAAAAGAATAATCTTTCGAAACATCGCGGTTAATTGTTTCTGACAAAGTAATCAAATTAATTAAAAGACAAAACAAAGTCCCTTTATCCATCTGTATAAAAATTATCTGTATAAAATGAAATGTCGTGTAACAGCAGAATACAGAAATAGTTGCGGAAACACAGGAATAGCGACCGACCGCAGTAGATTTTGAAACGCTCCCTGCGTTGATCAATATGTTTCCAGCGAATTCTGAATAATCACCCATGCAGACAGTTTGCGCGTTGTCTATGGTTAGCCTTAGACTTTAGCAACAGTCCTCATCAATAAAAATAGTGATGTATACACATTGAATGAGAAAAAAATAATACATCCCAGATTAGTTTATGAAAAACAAACTTGTTACTTGTTAAATTTTCTGAAATTTGCATCGAAACTAAAGTTTTCATATGAGCAGTGACATTGACAGTCGTATAACTCAAAAACTGAATAGTACCTCTTCCACCCTAAAAGAAGACTGGACCTAGAGTAAAACTTGTAATGCCAACGAATTGTGGATGTCTCTCAAGTCAAGTCAAATTTATTTAGTCAATGATCTTAAAAATTGACAAGGCAGTGATAAAAAGTTTAACAACAGACTTTCACCAAATCACCCCACTACACAAAAAAAAAGAAATGATCGCAAAACGAATCATAGTCGATGCTGTAGAAAACTGTGTATGTCATATCGGAGCTCACGAGTTAGAAAAGAACAGAGTATCATTAAAAGGAAAAACACTACGTAGTCAACAATCATCTTCAGTTTATTTTATCGGCTGAATTGTTTTATTGATTCGATCATAATTCAAAATGCATTTCACTGTTTTGATATTCACGAAAAAAATCAATAGAATTCAACAACCCTACCTTTATGTTCACTCGGCATGTTTCATTGTGATTTTGTGCATTTCTGGAGAAGTATTTACCTTCCATATAGGTGATACTTCAAGTAGAATGCGCGTGATGTTTACCTTTTATTTTTTCGAAACCAACAGAAAAGAAAAAGAAGCAGAAACAACGTCAAAATATCGACTTCGCGCACCCTCTCATTATAGTTGTAACCATGTGCATCTATGAGTCACTGCACGAGAGCCACGACTAAACTTGCTAAAAAAAATGTTTAATTTCGCGTGAAAACTAGCCCATCATGTAGATAGTCACAACATTGCTGAAAATTGCTGATTTAAAGATATGTGTAACTATGTGGGAACATCTAAAGCATGCGTCAGAACCATGGCATTTGTATTACAAACAGTTGATAGCGTAATCGCAATCAAAGAGTCACAAAAAATAGATAATGATTGCCACATTACGTGTGAAAATTTAATAAAAGTACTAAGCATAACTACTCCGACGTTTGGAAAATAAATGTTTTTTTGAACAAAAATTCATCACATTTTCCTGGTATTGAAAATGTTGCAAAAACAAGCTGGATTTAAAAATAGTATATCTCTGCATAGAAAAGTCGTAAAAAGTTTAGAAAGGTCTCATTTTGAAGGAAATAATCGCTTCTGCCAATTGCAAAATTTAAAAATTGATTTCCATATTTATGGTTTTCTAGAAAGCCTCGAGAAAATCAGTTTCTGGGTTTCAGCTCACAGATATATTTGTCTAGAACAATGTTTTTTAGAATTAGTGTTGAAAACTAATCTAGATTCAATATCTTTCACTTTTGTCACTTTTGTAATTGAATCGTTTACCATTAGTTTAGTCGAGTAGAGCAGCGATTTCTGAACAAAATGAGACACCTCCGAGCTCTCTAAGAGTTTTTCTCATGAAATAGCATTCAATTTATGGAAGCCCCTAAGAGCGTAGTTTGCTTGTTTTCTCGTTAATTGTCCCGATTTTGCTGGTATGAGATCTTCCGTAAACTGAATGTTGTTTCATGAGAAGCTCTTAGTGAGCTCGGAGACGTTTTATTTTGCGCAGAAATCTTTGCTCTACTCGATTAAGCTAATGGGAAACTTTAGTTATATTTTTACACAAGAAAGCCAATAAATACAAAGGAGATAAGTTTTTTTGGCCCACTCTTTATCCTTAATGAATCTTTTGCACATATTTGAAAGAATTTCGTTTCTTCTCAATCTGACGTAATGAATAACAGGTACAATATTCGTGAATCTTTACACTGATTCACTTTTTTTTTTCTTTCGTTGGTTCATGATTCATTTCGATACATTACGAGTAAAATCGCTTCAAGAAAAAAAAACCGAACATATCAGCAGCACTTAAAATTATTATGTGTGAATGAATCAATCATGGTGACTAACTATGAGAATGTACGTAATATATGCATAATGTAAAAAGCAGTGACTTCTGAATAAAAGATACTTTTGTGATCAATAAACTGGTAACACGCTGATATGGGAAACTGGATTACATCCTCTGCATCACACGGCAGCACAGTTGCTGGTAAATCGCCACAAATAAAAGAAATATCTTGGGGTAAGGTTGATATCGATAGTATTGGTGAAGTGTTAGGAAAAAATGTCCAACTTTATCCAGGAGGTAATTAATAAAGAACGTTCATTCCTTTATAGAAGTGTTAAGGTTTTTTTGTTTATAGGTGCTTCCAAGTGGGATTGGAAAGAATCCAACACTTCCCATGAGCTTGGCATTCAGTTAGCTGATGTACAACGTCTAATTGATAATAAACTGTGCGATGTTCTTGTATTATCACGAGGCATGGAAGAACAATTACAAATATCTGAAGGAGTTTATGATTATTTCAGAACAAACGGAATGAAATTGAATGAACATTATTATATTGAACAAACAGAAAAGGCAGTGGAAATTTATAATCAACTGAGTAAACGACAACGACGTGTTGGTGCACTTATACATTCCACATGCTAATTTAATTAACACGTATTTTAATGAGCATGAATTTTCCTAAGCATACACCATCGTAAGCAAGATTAACACATTTTAAGAACGTCGAAAGAAACTTTATCTCGAATGTGTCTGTGAGTTATTCTTTTCGTTTGACAACAACAAGCTCAAAGAACTCGTTTTCCCCCCGTTCTACAGCTATTCAAACGCATTTCGCTTTCTATTCGCACCCATTTAACCGTAAGAAAGGTTTTTCTTATTGATTATCGAAAATTAACAAACATGTGTTATTCGAAATCAGTATTCTTGTTTTAAAAACAGTAGGAAAAAAATATAATTATTAAAGTTTTAATACAGTTTCCATTTCACTTAATATAACTGACTTATATTTGATACAAGCTTCTGGTCTTTTCTGAAAATTGTACATATTGTAATGTTTGTAAAACTTTTACACTTCTTCCTAGCATTCTTTCATTTCTGTTCGTCTTCTGGTAGAAATAGAAAAAATGTGGTCAAGAAGTTGGAAAAAATCGACTGAGTCTTTATACTTGGAAAGAGAGAATTGCATAATTATTTCTTTCTATAAAATTAAAAACATTCTTATATAAAATACCCTTTCTCTTCTACAAGGAAAAAGAAAGGGAAAATAAAACATATTTCAATACAATGTACGATTGAAGAAAAAAATCATAACACTACTAATTGTGCAAAACAAAACATGGTTATTGACAGCGGTATTTCAAACAAAAAAAGCAAGAGAGTTAATGAATATGTATCTGCATCTAACTATTTGCTTAGCTGTTATGTCACTTCACCCATTCGTCTTGGATAATTTTTCGCCACACAATTTGTCTCATTAACTATTTAAAATGTAGGAGTTGTTGCTTCAAATTAGTGAGAAGCCTAGCCCTATTCTTCTCCTTTCTATGCTGAAAGCTGTTCACGAATAAATACTATTCAAACTTGAGTCCTCTGCTTATGGTATCATTTCTTTGATAAAAAATAACACCCACGCGCGATGAAGTGAGGAATTCTTATTCGCAACGAATCAAAAGAAACCGGAACCAAAATTTCAAAACAACTTTAGGTTCCTGGGTTCATCCTAATGTAAACTTTTAGGTTCTCACATTCACCGTCAGCCCCACCATCCCTGCCTCGCTCCTCATACGTTCGTACGAATATTTAGATACAAGAACCTTTTCTCCTAGTATATTTTAGATCTAGGTTCTTAGGTTCTTGGGTTCTTACATGTTGAAGAAGAATCTAAATTTTTAGATTCGTTTCCAACATGCAAGAACCCAAGAACCTAAAAACCTAGATATAAAATATTCTAGGAGAAAAGATTCTTGTATCTAAATGTTCGTACGAACCTAAAACGTGAGTACGAACATATGATTTTTAGATTCGTTTACAACATGCAAGAACCCATGAACCTAAAAGCCTAAGAACCTAGATATAAAATATACTAGGAGAAAAGCTTCTTGTATCTAAATGTTCGTACGAACGTAAAAACGTAGTGCGAACGTAAAATTTTTAGATTCGTTTGCAACATGCAAGAAATACAAAATATACTAGGAGAAAAGGTTCTTGTATCTGAATGTTCATACGAAGCTAAAACGTGAGTATGAACCTAAAAGTTTAGATTCGTGTTCGGCATGGAAGAACCTAAGAACCTAAGAACCTGGATGAAATATATGTCATCTCGAAGAGTTTAGATTCGTCATGGGCGGTGAAAGTAGTGAGGATTTTGGAGTCGTTACGCAGAAGAATTCCTCATCCTATGCCACGCGCACTTTCTTGAGACCTTTTGATTGATACCATCTAGCATTAAACTAATTCCTACACGCACATATGAGCTAGTTCCTTCTTTAAATATTTTGAAACTACTATGCATCGTGGCATATTTAGGATTTTTCAGAAATGGGCAAACTTCCATTTGGTGTAAGGTGCAGGCAATGCGAAATTCGAGTAAAAAGTTTTTTTCGCCTTTTTTTCGCAACTAAGTGTAGCTATATAGTTTCAAGTCGTTTTTTTCTCCTTGACTTTGGCTCTAAGCTATGAAAATTAGATTGTGAAGAAAATGTTAGATGGTCTTGTAGGTCTCCTTGTTTATTGTCAATTTTGGTTAAACAAAATCATCGTTTGTCTTGTTTCTTCATCTTTTCTTCAAGTCTAGTTTATAGATTAATATATAAACGAATTTAAACATCTGCTTTTTGATCGTTCACTGGTTTGAAAAAGCATTAATTAAAAATAATTTTAAACTAAAAGTTGGTTAGAACTAACGTAGATTCAAACTAATTTAAATAGATTCACAGGAGAATTAGTTTACATTAACTTTTGGTTAAAAATTAATTTTAACTAATTTGAGACTAAGTTAGTTCAAATTACTTGATGAAGTTTTCAATATTTTTTTCAAAATATTTAAGGAAAAATCCAAAATCCCCAGTATATCTGATACAGTTAGAGCCTAAGTTTCCCGGAAGAATCCAGTGGCAATCTCCGAAATTCGTGCAAATGTTTCTAAACCGAAATAAGTACCTATTTTGGTTTTGAAAAACTTGAAATTAATTTACATTAATTTTTTTTGTAATTATTTACATTTATTTTGGGGTCCTTCCGCGCAGGTCCGCCCATTATTATATTCACTATTAGCCGCGAAAATTTCACTTTGCCCATCGTGTAGAGCATCAAAAATAAATCCAAAGGTCTCAATTACGCTTTTTTGAAAACACGTGTGAAAAGTGGTTTTCTAGACACCTCAAGTTTTTGGTGAGGGTGAAATTGAAGTCGGTGAAAATGGACGAAATATTGCATAATTATACATCAAATTGTAGCTCTTGACGAATTGATTCTAATGGTGAAGAAATTCAGTCTCGATCGAACATTACATTCGAGTGGTACTCAATTTACTTGAAAAATTCCTGAAGTTTGACCTCGATTTTCTCCTAAACGCTCCGAAAAGTTTTCGAGATTTTTCGAGAGCAAATAAGGTGGTATATGCAGATTTTTCCCATGAATTGGATACCAGATTTTTTGTAATTCTATTCTGGTGCATGACCCAGTAGCCCTGTCTCATTCAGTATTTTCTCAATATCTTGGTCACGGTTGATTGACAAGTCTCAATCTTTTTTTAAAAGAAACCTCATTCAGTTCTCTACACAAAACATATTGAACATTTCTTTATATACCATAAGAATAAAAAATATAAATGAAATACGGGAAAGCTTCAGTATCGATTATTTTCAAACCGAAAGAACAGGTTTTTCAATTTCAGTCTCTTATATGTTGCGAAAAAAGAGAAAATGGCCATTTTTTAGTCCTCGGAAAGCTCTATCAACTGGCTAAACTTAAGACTCTTCATAGGCTCGACCAATCGTAGGAGGAGCTTTTTTCTTTTAGCGATCTATTAACTTCTACTTAAATTTTTTTTTCAATTCTTTTTTTTAATGTTAGAATCAGACATCTTTTGCATGTCCTCAGTATAGTACATTTTCCAAGAAAATGAAAGTAACAATCGAAAAAAAATCTTTTTCTACCTAAGATTGCTTTTCATTATCCACAAAAAGATTAAACGATACATTTAATACAAATAAAACATACACCTTGTTTTGTTTTCTTTTGTTGAATAATAAATCAATATCGTTCTTTAATAAAATTTTTCCAATTACAATGATAAATAATTTAGAATAAATGTTGAAATAGCTAATACATGTAAAAATGCAATTGGATAATATATAGTCGCCCATGCACACATACCAAAACTTATGAAAACGGTACTAATTATTATTGATAGAAATAATCGTTTAAATACATTTAAATAGTTCCAGTCTGATTTATAATAACTTGAATAGAGAGTGACAGATAAACCAAATATGAAACCAATTAGTATTAATGAAATATAATTCACTGTTGATAATGTCATATTTGATCGAACTAAAATATGTGCGCTCGTATATGCAATGGCTAAAGCAAGATGAGGTGGTGCTGCATAAAAAACTGATTGTTGATTTTGAGAATAAATTGATTGACATTGATCACATGCAGATGGTGAATGAGTATAAACAAGATCAATTGGTTGTGGTAGAACATCACCTTGAAGATCTGTTAAGATACAAATTAATTAATAAGAATTTTTCTAGCATCCAATATTATGAAATGTACCTGCATTTCCATGAACATTCAAATTTTGCCAAGATAATGTTGAATTTTGATCTTCTGCATGTGTCCACCAATGAAATGGGGTCTAAGAATAGTAGAAAATGTATATGAAGTTGAACAGAGAAAGACGAAAGTATTGCAATATTTGCATTTATTTTCTTAATTATAAGCAATCAGTTAGGTAATTTATAAGAATTAAATGTAAGTGTTTCTTACTTCAACGGCCCATGCATTAAATCCCATTGATATTAATAACGATGTTGTTGTAACGGCTTGTCCTTGACAATCACCAGCCATTCGTGTTATTGTTTCATTTGGTGTTGTTAATAAACCAACAACTTTATATTGTGAATAATCACTTTTCCATGCTATTTTTCTATATATAAATTTATCAACTCTATTCATTTTCTTATTAAATGGTAATAAATCAAATTCTTGTTTTGGATTTTCATCAAAAAACATTTGTTTTAACATTATAACTGATGGATCATTCTTAACAACAAAAATGAAAATCATTATTCAAAATGGAATTGTTTAACTCGAAACTTACAGGTGTGATAATCATTTGATTAGCATTTAAATGTCGTTGTAATTGTGATGATAACAATGTGATATTAGGAAACAGAGCAAGTGTAATACCACCAATAAGCCATCCACCTAATTTTAGTCTTCTGCTCATCCAACTTTGTTGATAATAAGCGGTGTGAACTAGACCTGGCGTAACTAGGACTATACCGGTCAACATTAAATATGATATAAAATTCCAATATGTCAAGGTAATCAATCCCCAATAAAGCCAACCGAACAGCGATAAAACCCATCCAATAAGAGAAAAATAGAATTCTTTTGATTTTACTTTTGTCTGAAGACGACTATTTTTTTTATTAGATGATGGTAATATACTCAAACTGGTTCTTTGAAATGAGAGAGTACATAATATACTTAAAATTTAATCTAGATTATTTTGTACTTACTTCAGTGTTGTTGATTCTGACTGAATATTTATGTTTGGTAAATAAATGAATATAATTTTAAGAATGAAATATAGTAAAACAACTTCACCAATTCCAACAACAATTCCGAGGATAAAATTGCACTAAAAGACAATGACTGTTGCAATGAATAGAACCATTATTGATTTCCAAAATAGAGTGTACGCATGTTTAACGCAGGAAATGGAATTTCCAATACCAACTTCACCTGGTTATCGGTTTATGAAATAGTCAAATGGAACTACAGGTCTACCGGTGTATCGAACAAAATTCTGTACAAAAGACTAGTTTTGAAAACTGTCATGAATGGATTTTTTATGCTCTACAAATCTATGTATCACGGTGGACAATCAAGCAGACATTTGATGAAGCAATGAAAATCGACTTTTTGACAATTCAAATAGTGAACAATATACTTCAAGACATGCCCCTATCCGATCGCATCAAAGATTTTATTACGAAGTTTCCGTTGCGTCAGAAAATAGCTAATCAAAAGTAGTATCGATAAGAAAAGTAAAATCTCATAATAGTCATTGAACTTATAACCGAAAACAGCATGTACTCTATATCTGCATGATGTCAGCTACAGATTCGTAAAAAACATTTTTAGTTTTAAGTTTGCTTACAACATATATATAACATAGACAAAATATGACAAAATTTAGAATATTTTTCTTCCTTTAACTTTACATATCAGCTGAGAACACATACAGCGCATGGTTGTAAGAAATGTGATTAGACACGTTCCTAAGGACGTCAAGGTCCTTCATATGCTCGACAATAAAAAAGACTTTTTTTAAAGAAGGTCCAGTGGGGAGGAAGAATACTCGGCCTTGCGGCTACGTTACCGTGTAGGATGCTGTCAGAGGACAGTTTCATTAGCCCGATACTTTTTCCTACAGCTGATGATCCTGGAGGAAGTTCACACGTTCCTTTACTAATCACCATGTTGCAGCTCTGGACAGAAGGCTGATCTGATTCAGAGTTCTTCTCGCCCAATTGCTTGAGCTCCCCATACTCTCTCAACTAGGCTGACATACATTGAAAGAGTGTAAACACTCTCTCGTGTGCCGCAATATGTTGAGGTCGCTATCGGAGGGGTAATCCGAGGCAATAGACCGTGAGTAACTTGCCCAAAGAAATTACATATCTGGGTGACGCTGAGATTCGAACACAGTACCTTGTGAGTATGAGTCGAACAACTTAACCACCGAACTACGCCGGACTAGAGCGGGACTAGTCTAGAGGGGGGATCTGTAGGATAGAACCAGAGACATAATCTTGTAAGATCTGATGAATTCTTGTAATATGACCTTACAAGATGATATTTCAAGGTTCTTCGCTCGGGGCAGATGTCGATAACCACAAATTTCTATTCATTTTGTATCGTTAGTTAGGCAAGAGTACACTCTATTTTCAAAATGAATAGTTATAAGTATATTTAACACTTTACAGAAACACAAATTCGATTTCCTGGCCATTGATCAAATGGAGCATATGCGATTATATCACCGTAAGCAGAATTGATATTCGAAGATTGTTTTAATTCATTAACCACATTTAACAATTGATCAAGTTTCTGTTCTATATCCTTACCATTTGTAATTTCGGCGGTCTAAAATGACAAATCAAATTGCTGCAGTCATCAGTAAATATAATAAAAACAAAATTAACTAACATTTCCATAGTCAAACACAACCATGCATACAACCAATATCACTATCCAGTGGGTAAATTTATCCATTTCTAATTAAAAGTCACACTCACCAAGCTACCTTAATAATTCTCTTTACCTTGTTTAAATGACGATAAAAGTAAAATGTCGCCTTACTTCTTTCATTGTTTTTTAAAAACAATGAAAAACATCAAATTATCGAATAAGATAACAGGTGAAATGATAAACCAACACAATAATATAAAATATTAGAAATCTGATAGAATCAGCACAAAAATTGTAGTTCAAGCAATTGGATGTTCGATGTATATTTAAATACACTGTAAAAGACTGATTGGTACTTTATTATTATCGTTTAGCTGTAATTTTCTACCATTTGCTTTTTTGCAGGAATTACAGACTGTTACAGCCATCGACTGTTGAAATGAACAGTAAATCTAAAAACGGTTGGCGATTGCTACAAACAGCAAATCTAGTAATATAGGTCCTAAATATACAAAATACGCAGTAGTTAAACTGATTATGAAGACTGGACTATTAAATGATTGTTTTGACACCTCTCAGCTATTTCGAGGTTTTCGACCCGAAAAATTTCCAGAGATAAGGAAGAAACACATATTCGTTTTGTTAATCTGTATGTCTTTGTTAGTATTTGGATTATATTAAATAAAATGTATAATTTTAATAATATTATCAATAGTGTTTTGTCTGACAAGGTTACCGTTTATAGGTTACATGATTTGCATACGAATTTAAAGGCGAATCAACGGAATGGGATATTTGCATGTCGGTTGAGAAGGAAGGTGAAAAAAGAGAGTTCTGTTGTCTTAAATTTCATGAGCTTCTCCCATTAATAGAAAAGTTGGAATTAGAGAAACGATGTTTATATGAAACGATAATAGGAAATCATTCGATCAAGGCATGTGTTGACTTTGAGTATTATTTGAAGAATAATAGGGACGTTTGTGAAGAAACAGCAGTGAAATGTGTGTTAGTACTACTTTATTATATTATCAAGTGTATGGAAAACTTTTAGTTTAATTCAAATGAAGTTACATTGAATCAAATGTTAGAGGAGTTCATCGTGCTTGAATAATCGACAAATGTAAAAATAAGTTATCATTTTATTCATGGAAACTTTCAAGTTGTATGAATTGTTAATAATAAAAAAACATGATTACATATACTATTTTCAGATAAAATGAACAAGAAACAATCATTCACTACATGTTCAAAACAAAATTTTACACTAGCAAAACGTTAAATTCATATCATTAGATAACAGTTAAATGTCTAGTTCATTTTATACTGAATAAATGCGAATTCTTTTTTATTACTCTCCAATGCCTTGACAATAACACTATCCTAGTAAAGTTATGTCTATGCTAATAATGAACAACATACACAAAGCACTCATTATTCTCCATGAGAATTCTTATTTCAAAATGTCCCGTGTCTCATGCATTGAATAACACTGTTCCAACGAAGTTATGACTAAAGGAATAGACACAATAGAGGACGGGTCTTATATCGCGTCCTAGCTCTCATAACTTTGACGGGGGTCTTGTAAAGCGTCCTTAAAAGCAGCCGATTTTGAGCTGAAATTGCTTGATCGAGAGTTCGCACTGTGTACAAAGCAGTGTACGCACACACTTCTTTTTGTCTAACAGCTGTATATTCACTCTAACCTATGTCGTTCATTCCGGCGTCAGGGTCCTGACGAAACCTGCCGGATCCAACATCCCAACATCGGAACATGGTACGGAATTCGGTAAAATCTGGCAGCAACCATACCGGATTATGCCAAAAATCCGTTGCTCGGAACCCGTGCTGGACGATGCCGGAAAAGATCCGACCGGATCAGACATCTCTTCCGGGACCTTCCAGCCGATGAGTCGGATTTCGCTGTGTTCGGCCAAATAAGACCAATTTTGAGGTTAAAAACAGTCTTCAATTTTTTCTTTCATTTTCTCGTGGTTCTTCTCTCTGTTCATTCGAGAGAGTGGAGGGGTCCACCAGCTAGCACGTGTACAGCACGTCCGTTGCGATGACTCACACTCTTGACAATTTGAGAAGAACAGCTTCTCATTTTTCATTTTCTGTAGTGTTGTATGTAAAGTGCTCCTATCCTGAAACAAAACGGTGAATATATTATGCGCACTGGAAAGAAAGAAAAAAATAATAAAGTGCACATCACAGGATCCGTCGATTTCCAATCACCGGAAATTAACGGATCCGCCTGATTCGGGATATCGGATCTTCCAGGAAAAAAATATCGGAACGCGAAGCAATTGAGCAAATTCCGATCTCCGGAAATCACCGAAACTAAAAAAGGATCCGGCAGGATCCGATCGGGTGAATTCGACCTGGGAACAGCTGAAGAAAAAGACGAACGCAAAGACTAGTGTTTGATTGAACCCCAAAATCAATATATTTTAGGTCAAAAACTCGATAAAAGAAGGGGATCTTCTAAAGTGGCTTTTGCATTATGAGTTCAAAAAAGGTCTTGTAACAGGGGGAAACGCTCTTCTATCCTATGGGAGGTTCTCTATTACGTCCATCTCTTTATGCTAATAATGAACACCCAATTTCAGCTGACAGAGAGTGAAAGTAGGCACGTGGACCCATTTATGTCCAATCTACTTGGTACTTACATTTATATCTGAGTAGTCTGTGTCAGCGCCACTGGTATCCGTTGTCTGATAATGGATATCATTTCGCAATCTTTTCTGTGAATAAAAAATAAAATCAAGTTAAAGT